CCGCACGGCTCCCGAAAGCGATGCAAGAGGAGGCAGGCAGGAGGCAGGACATAACTTTTATTAACCATAAGAAACCGTAAGAGATCACATTATTCGTTAAAGTTTTACATACGGTATTTTTTTGGTTCTTTTCCCCCAATAAAAAGGAGGCAGGCAGGAGGCAGGACATAACTTTTATTAACCATAAGAAACCGTAAGAGATCACATTATTCGTTAAAGTTTTACATACGGTATTTTTTTGGTTCTTTTCCCCCAATTTTACAAGTCAAGCCATACTTCTGGGAGGTGGTGCAGGAACCTTCTCCCGCCAGGAAGGTTCGAAGCAGCTCGCTGGGGATGTTTTCTGTGGAAGAAGAGACTTCAGAGGGCGGCAGCTTTGGGTCAGATTTGGGGGTCTCTGCAAAAGCAGTATTTGAGCTTAATTTGTGGAAAGCGTTTGCCATTTCGCGTCTCCACCTCTCCTCTCTTGCCGCTTGGGGACAGGAGGGAAGGAAGCAGGAGACCCCTGCGGCATCTCCAGCTTTGGGGGCTCTTTGGGAAACAAAACCGGCCCTTTCTTTCTCAGAAATGACCTAAAATCTCTCCCAGCCTTGAAGGGTGTGGGGAGGTCATTTGCTCTTTGCCAAACTGGACCAAGTTTCCTCCCGCAGGAGACTAAGATGGGAGAAACGGGGCTCTGATATCCTCGGGAAGTCACCAGGGATCGGCGGGTCGCAGCCGGCTCCCGGGTCTCACGGCGGGTGGCTTGGGAAAGAGGGAAAACCAGAGGAAAACAAGAGCTCGGGGGCAGACGTACAGCGAAGCCTACCTGCAGGCAGGTTTTTCCCCGTCTCCCAGTACAAGAAGAGAGTTTTCCCTGGAGCGGGACAGTGGGCTGTGGCTTCCCGCTGTTTTGGCCGAGTTACGGAGTCAGGAGATCAGAAACGCGTCTCGGGGGGAACGGCCACCCGGGAACTGCGCCAGCTCGTTGCTCGCTCTGCACGCCTCTGCTTAATAAGAAGTTTGCAGACCAGGGAGGGTGGAGCAGTATAAATATAAACATAAATTAAGTGAGGAGGGGAAGGGACCCAAAACCCAAAACCTCAGTCCAAAATGTCATCACAATGTCAAACTTGGCAGCTTTGTGCTGGTGGGGACGGGGCTGGGGGAAGAGCGAGGGCAGAGGGAGGAGCGGGAGCGGCCACGCTTCGCTAGCGGTTCCCTGCGTCCCGGCTCGGCCAGGGCATTCCAGCGAATATCACCTTTAGGGACACACAGAGCAGCAAGTCCATCACCGACCTCGGCAGCCTCGGGCAAACCCCACGTCCTGCCTCAGCTTCCCTGCCTGCGGCGTGGGGCCGGCGATGCCTCCTGAGCTCAGCAGAGCCGTGCGAGGCACGGCCGCTCGCTCCCATAAAGTGCTCCAGAAGTGATATGATCGATAAATACTATTTCATAGAAACACTTGATTTAAAAGGAAAAAAAAAAAAACCAAACAAAAAAAAAGCTCCGAAACCTTTTTATAAAATCATTTATTTTAAATATTTCCCTGCAAAATAGTGGGAGGGGTTGAACGCTCTGGCTAAGGGCTGTGTCCTCCTTCGGAGAGTGGTGCACAGGGAGGAGAAGCAGTCTGCGGCAGGGAGCAACGCTCGGGCTCCCAGCGCGCGCAGCGATGCCCTGCCCGGCTCAGCCGCGGGGTTTGGAAACCCCACGACTGACCCCAGTATTGCCCAGTGGTAATTATTATTATCTGTATTATTGTCATGCCCCAGAGCAGCGAGGAGGCTGCAGGAGCCCAGGTCTGCACCACCGGCCCCTTTGCATAAACCCTGCAGAGATTTGCTTTATCCTGGGGCTGGGCCTTTCCAGGAGATTTCTTGTATTATTTTGAAATTCTTTCTCCCCATCTGCCCAAAAGAACATATTTGTACTGGAAAAAAACAGAATGTGAGGATCTTTTCAAGTTGGTTTTCGTTCCACACTTGCAAGCCTGGCTCTGGTTCCAGCTTCCATTTTTCCTCCTTTTTTCTTTCCCCCAGAAAAAGCTCCAGGGCGTTTCGCCCAAAGCAGACGCCGAGGGTGAGCATGCCACCGGCCCTCTGCAGTCCTGCAAACCGCCCCGGCAGCGGGCCAGCGGCACCATCGCACGCTCCTGCCATCGTGTCACATCGGCGCGCAGCTCCCTGCGCCGCCCGGCTGCCCCCAGGCCGGGCCATTGCCCAGCTCATCCCCGTGGGCTTGCTGAGAGATAACGTGCCCCATTGCCTGCGCTCTGCACCCTCTCCTTCCCCCTGCCACCTGCAGCTCGGGGACAGCTGGTCCCCACCGGGCCAGGAGGTCCCTGTGCCCTGGCTTGGCCCCTTCCTACCAGACCTACAGTTTGGGAACATGATGGAGAGGAAGAGCCTCTTGGCAGCACCTGGGAGCTCCCAGAGCTGGGAGGCAGCTCAGGACATCACGCCTGGTCCTGCCAAGGCGATGCCGCCGCAGGGTGGCCCACCAAGGTGACACCACCACACAGTATCCTACCAAGGCAATGCCACCACGGGGTGTTCCACCAAGGCAATGTCAATGCAGGGTGTCCCACCAAGGCGACACCACCACAGAGATGTCCCACCAAGGCAATGCCACCACACAGTGTCCTACTAAGGTGACACCACTGCAGTGCATCCCAGGAAGGTGGCACCACAGCAGTGTCCTACCAAGGCAGTGCCACTGCAAGTTGTCACACCAAGGCAATGCCACTGCAGGGTGTCCTACCAAGGCAATGTCACCACAGAGTGTCCTACCAAGGTGACACCACTGCAGAGCATCCTGCCCAGGTGATGCCACCAGCGCATCCGGCCCAGGAGATGCTCACACTGCAGAGGGGCCAGGCACTGCCTGGTGCAGACCCCCCCCCAGCAGACCCCAGAGAGGCCCCGTGCTGCCCCCTCCCCAAGGACTGCCTCATGCAATACTTGCCTTGTGCTGCCCGTGGGGCTCCAAGCCCACCCTCAGCCCTGCAGGACTCGCTGCCCTAGAGACTCCCCGGCCATCCTCAAGCCATGCCCTGCTCCAGAGCCACCTGGCCTTGCCCACCGCTGGCTGTGCCCTCGATCACACTCTGGGATCGGGTCTCCTCTACAGTGGGAACAGCAGCAGAACAGCACCTGAGACTGCCTGAGGCTCTTTGGAGCCTGATCCTGCCATCGAAGTCAGTGGGGGCTTAGCACTTCACAGGGTTAAACCCTAGATCTGCAAGGGAAAGGAAGCAAGAGGAGCATTGCTGCTAGGCTAGCGCTCGGGACGGGATTCGCTTTGGTGCTAGGTCTGATGGCACCTGGCTGGTGCTGCGGGTGCCAGTGTGACCTGCCCCGACCCAGCAGGGCAGATCCCAGCACCACAGTGCTCACACGTCCGCACCCCCTCGATGGGGTTTCCCTGCTGGAGGGGCAGCAGGACAGCCTGGCCCTAGCTCTCCACGAGGAGGAGGTGCCCACAGAGGAGGCTGAAGGCTCCTCCAGCATCACCAAAGGCTTCGTCAGGGCTTGGACGCCTTGGGCCTCACTGGGGCAGTGCAGGCTAGAGGGGTTCGGTGAGGACGGGGGAGGTTCCCCATCGCTCCAAGCAGTCATCCGGGTTTTATCAACTCAGCCTGAAAAGGTGGTTTGGATCCTAGTGACCGAACACGGAGGAGGGCAAGAAGTGTCTCCTAAGTCAGGGCTGCTCCTCTCTCAGTCCACTGTGGGCAGAAGCTGCTGGTGACGGGGGACTGAAAAGATCATTAGCACCATCAGCTACCCACGGATTTTCTCACGCTGTCATCTCCCCTGCCCCAGGCTCGTGGTCCGGGAGGACCACACAGCCCATGGGAGCGGGGGAGACCAAGCAGATGGGACCTGGACCTCAGGATGCTCCGAAACCACTTCAGCCGAAACACAAAGCCCTTTGCAGGAGGGGAAACCGAGGCTCAGCGTCATGCCTTGCCCCCGGCCACCGCAGCTGCCCCGCGCCCTCCTCCTGCTGCCCCCGGCAGCAGCTTACAAACACGGAACGGGCGATACCCGGGAAGGGGAAAGCCGGCCCCTTGGAGATGCAGCGGGGTGGGAGCGGGGGGCGCCCAGGGACGCCCGGCGTGCACGCAGGCATGCACGCGCCCACTGGGACGTTCGGCAAAACAGTCTTTGCGGTTCGGCTTGCCGAATAATCCCCCCG